TAGCTGAAATAAAAAAAACACTGTTAATGTAGAGGTAGACTATTTTAAAACAAAAGTGAGAGAGTCTTTGAAAATTCAGTATTACCAGTGCTCTCCAAATGAAGATGATTTGAGTGAAGACGACGGTAATTACGTCACGTCGTCGTTTCGGAAACCTTATTTTTCTTATTTAAGACGCAAGAACACATTACATTGAAGTTTTATTATTTGTTTATTTTTTTTTAACGGTATTTTTAATATATATTACTTAAATAAGGATAAATTTACATACTATAACAGATCTTTTAACTTAATTAAAATATCCTATTTTTTGAGTGTCATATTTATTTTTATTGCATTTGATCTCAATAAAACTTTAAAATTAAATTCTGAATTGTACCTTCATCTAAAAAATTGGTCTTTTGCATTTTCATATTGATGAATTTCGCAGTCTCATAAGTTCACTTACCATTCTTCCAACAGTATTTGGAATTTTGGAATCTAAATTGTACATTAACGATCCCAATATAACTGACATAACTATAAATGGTTATAACATTGAACAATGCTCTACTGAAGATAAAAAAAGGCGGTGCTCTTCTATACTTACAATCCAATCTAAACTACGATGTCAGAAGAGATCTTACAGTATATGCCCCAAAATACCTAGAATCTATCTTTATTGAAATCATCAATCCTTTTAAGAAAAATATCATTGTTAGCTGCATATACCGGCATCCTTCAATGAACCCAAAGGAATTTATTTCTGATTATTTTAATCCTTTACTTGAAAAACTTTTTAACTTCTTAAAATGAACAGGTTATGTTAATAGGTGACTTTAACATGGACTTACTAAACTACAATGAATCCCTTATTATCTCTGATTACCTTGACTCACTTTGTTCTTATTCTTTTTACCCAACAATAATTCAACCAACGCGAGTAACCTGTAAATCTAAAACAATTATTGATAACATCTTTTTAAATTTTTAAATTCCTAATCTTATTTCTAGTAACGTAACAACATCAATTTCAGATCATATGACACAGTTTGTTTGCATTCCTTTAATCCTTTCAAAAGAAAAAAATCCATAACAGCTAAACAACCATTTAAGAATTTCAATGATAATGAATTTATTCAGGATATTTCTAATATTGACTGGGAGTTTTATATCAAAAATGGTGATGATGTTAATGAATCAATGAACTTCTTTTTAAAAACATTTAACACAATTCTTGATCGTCATGCCCCGTACAAAAAACTGACCAAAAACCAAGTTAAACTCATATCTAAACCTTGGATCACTAATGGAGTTCTGAAGTCAATTGCAATTAAAAACAAGCGCTACAAAAAGTATATAAAATCTAAAAATTCCAACACAAAAAGTCAACTATTCGATAAATTTAAATTGTACAGGAATAAAATTAGCAATTTATTAAGAATTTCCAAAAAGTCATACTACATCTCCTTCTTAAACAAAAATCTAAACAATACAAAAAATACATGGAAAGGAATAAAAGAAATTATTAACATCAAACCCTCTACACCAATTAAATCTTACACTCTCAAGTCTAATGTTAACACTATCTCAGACAGTATGACTGTTGCTAACATTTTTAACAAATACAATGAAACAATACAACACCCACCCAAAAGTAAAATGATTTCTTCTAAAAGTATCTTTTCTGACTATATAAAAAATGCTAATTCTAATTCTTTCTTTCTTAATCCAGTGACTGAAAGTGAGGTGTCTGATTTAATAAAAAATAGTTTACAAAATGGTAAAAGTTTAGGACCAAATAGTATCCCCAAACACCTTCTTAAACTTACTTCTCATGTTATTTGCAAGCCTCTCTGTACCATATTGAATAATTATTTTAATAAAGGTCTTTTTCCAGATGTTTTTTAAATAGCCAAAGTTATTCTTATCCATAAAAAGGGTTTTCTAATGGACCACAGCAATTATCGACCAATTTCTCTTCTATCTAACATTAGTAAAATATTTAAAAATGCCATGTACAACAGACTTTATAGCTTTCTCGACAAAAAACAATGTCTTTACAAACATCAGTATGGATTTCGTAACAAATACTCCACAACTCATGCACTTATTAAAATAATTGAAACTATTAGAAATGCTCTTTGCATGTGGAGTGTTTCTTGACTTAGAAAAAGCCTTTGACTCTGTTGACCACTCCATCCTCTTAAGTAAATTAGAACACTACGATGTTCGAGGTAATACTCTGCAATGGTTTTCATCATATTTTTTTAATATATCGCAATTTGTCTCCATCGATGATGCCAAACCTTTTGCAATAAAATGCTCCACGGGTGTACCCCAAGGTTCTGTATTAGGACCATTGCTTTTCTTTATTTTTATAAATGATCTCAATATCTCTCTAAAATTTTCAACGGCTTACCATTTCGCTGACGACACCAACTTACTCATAACAAACAAATTATTAAAAAAAATGAACAAACATATTAATCATGATTTATCTAACCTTTTACAATGGCTGCACTTTAACAAGCTAGGTCTTAATACCAACAAAACTGAACTCATTATTTTCAAATCAAATCAATCTAAAATGTATAAAAACCTAAACTTTAGACTAATTGGACAAAAAATCTTTCCCGTAGTTTCATTAAATATCTTGGAATCCAAACTGACTCTTATTATAAATTAAGAGGAAAAAGATAAACTGAGATTTATCTTTTTTCTCTCATCTTAAATACTTAGCAATAAAGTTGTGTAGATCAAAAGGGATGCTAGCCAAAATTCGCCACTATGTCAAAAATGAAACTCTTCTTAACATATACTATGCAATTTTTGGATCACATCTTAGATACGCTTGTCAGGTTTGGGGACAAAGCAAGTCTAATGCTTTTTTAAGGTTATGTAACCTACAAAACAAAGCTTTAAAAATAATATTCTTTCAACAGTATCATTCTAACTCTGACGTCCTTTGCTTTTTATCAAAAATACTCAAACTATGTGATCTTGTTTATTTATTAAATTGTCTATTTTTCTGGAATCATTTACAAGTAAACCTCCCTCCGTCATTCTTCAATTTTTTTACCACTAAAAAAAGTTCTCGTTATTACCTTCTATCTTTGAGTAACTTTAAATTATCTATCCCAAATCGCTGTTCGGTAAAATACGGTGATAATTCTATTACAAACCAATGCGCAAAATCGTGGAATAGTTTACCTTTCCATTTTTAATCTCTCAACTCTTTTTCACAATTTAAAACCCGTCTTTTTGACTTTTTGATAGAAAAATACTCTAATTAAAATCTTATGCTTATAATAGATTATTATTACTTTTGTTATTAGTATTATTATTATATGTAATGTTAATATTACTTACTTTTTTTTTACATTTTTACTACCGTCATTATTACTTATTAAAATTGTTTAATATATAAATGTGATATTTGTTAATATTATTATTGTTAATTTTATTGTTATTATTGCTATTATTATAATTTCTATTATTATTGTTGTTATTATTTTATTGTTATTATTAATATTATTATTGTTGCTTATATTGCTATTGTTATTATTGTTATTATAATTACTAATATAATCATTATTATTGTCATTATTATGTTTAATAGTATTATTGATATTATTATAATCGTCTTTTAATTTAACTTATATTATTATTATTATATGATTGCTATTATTATTTAATTAGTGTTTACCTTAGATTAGTACTCGTACTATTAGTAAACAACCATGAAATGTAAACTTTTATTTCAGAATATATAATGTTATTGTTGTTATTTAAAATCTCTTGAAAAATGCGCACAAGTTCAAGTTTATATTTTAGCATAAACAACACATTTTGATGTTAATTTTATTGACGTTTCTTGCAATAAGAAGTTTTAGCAAAGGTTCAGCATGAGTCAATTAATCTTTATTAAAGACTATTCTTGCGACATGTTTTTAAAGTAGATAAGATGTTTCTAAGTTGGGTACTTGCCCATGCTGTATTACTATAAGTATAGTGTGTATGAAGGAGAAGAAAAGATGCTTTAAATTTTTTTAGAATAACATTGGTCTTATTTTATAAAACATAGAAATGTTGTTTTTAATTCTAGTATTTAAAGGGTTTATGTCGACTTTTTATGAAATATTCGCATCGATAAGTATCCCTATTCTTATTCTTTCAAAAGTTTTATTTTCTTTTTTAATTTTTTAAACAATTTTTATTTTTTTCTTTGATTGGAATTATTATTAACGTAGTTGGTTTTTTCCTGTATTTAACGATAATTTGTTAGATTTTTACCGAGTGTTAAGTTTTTCAAGTTCAATACTTGTAGTTACAAAAAGTTCTGCAATAAAGTAGATGAACAAGATAAGTATCATCTGCAAACATTATGACATCGAATTTGTTTGAGACTTTTAGAAGGTCGTTGATTTATAACAAGAAGAGTAGAGGAACTACAATAGAACCAAGGGTATCTCCGTATTTAATTTTAAACAATTTTGATTGAATATATTAGTTCATAGTAACACATTGCTGTCTGTTTGTAAAAGGGTTCTTAAACCAGTCAAAGCAAGGCTTTTAATTTTTTTTCCAGCAGTATAGTATGATCAACCATGTCGAATGCTTTTGATAAGTAATAAAGATTCTTAGAACAAATTTGTTATCAAGAGTTATTTTATTTAGGAGATAATAATTGAAATCCGAATTTATTTTATATATATATATATTTTTTAGTTAGGTACTTAATAGTTTATTTTAATTTTTTGTTTACGAAGTTTAAAAAAGACATATCTAATAGACGAAAGGTAACTCAAACATACTGACCAATCGACATAGACCCTATCACAGCACAAGCTCTCTTAGACTTGTAAAAGCTGCTCCGAGAAAAAAATTATAATTCTTGCCGAATGTTGTGAGCAACCTCGGCAGTATATATTGTTTATTCAAAAACAACAACCTAGCATTTATTATTTATTCTAAAACAATATCTGACGATATATTTTAAATTATCAAAAGCAAACTTCTTGGTTTATTTTATGTATTTATAAACAAATTTTACAATAAATTTCTATAACGAATATCAATACTGCACTATGTAGCAATTGTCAACTAACAAAAATCTGTTTATATTTTAACAATCCTCGTGATCCTTTGGTTACACTCTAATGATCGTCGTGGTCCTTTGGAGGTAATAACATTTTAATAAAATAGGTTGTGCGAATATATATATATATATATATATATATATATATATATATATATATATATATATATATATATATATATATATATATATATATATATATATATATATAATTTTAAAAAGTATTTTAAAAATATTTATCTGAGTAGCAAAATAACAGAATCAACTTGAATGTTATTAAATTTAACGTTTTACCTGTAATTGCATTCCTTTTGTTTCTTTCGACAATAAGAGAGATCCGCCGATACATAGAAATAGAAGAAGTGAGTAAATAAATATAGCTATGCCAGGTGTTTCCTGAATAATCACCTAAAAAAACCTGGTTAAAAATCTGGTAACTAATAGAGTAATAAAGACAATAACTATAAAAAGTAACAGGTGCTAATTATAATCATTAAAGCTTTCAAAATTCATGCCTTTTTATATGTTACTTCATATATTTCAGTATCAGATACGTTCTTATATTATTTTTAATTTCTGAGTTATCATCTTACTACAAATATTTGTAAAATATAAAAAAAAACATTCTGAACACTTTTTAAAATTATATTAAAAAAAATAATTTCGAAACAAAATTTAAATAATAATAAATTATAACAAGCTTAAGATAATGATAAAAAAAAAACAAGAAAAAAAAAAAACCTTACTTGTGATACATATGGTGTGACTATGGCTCCCAATCTTGAGAAACCAGCTGCAGTTCCCAATCCAATAGCTCTAATATGAGTAGGGTATACCTAGATTCAATTTAAAAAATTTTAAACTTGTTATTTAACTGTTAAATATTTAAATCTCTAAAAACAACTTAGATAAAATACCTAATTCAACTTGGATAAATCAATTCTTTAATTAATAATTAACTTGATCATTAATTAAATCAATTATTATTTATTAATAAATGATTGTCATAAAACATCTTCAACATAATAAACAAGTATTTTAATAAGTCAAATACCTATGGTATAACTTTAAAAGTAAAAACTAGACGATGAAAACATTTAACAGGAAAAGAAATAGTTCATAAAAAAGCTGACAAAAATTATGAGGAAAAGTCCTATAAAAAGTTACTCCTCACAGATCATTAAAAAAATTTAAAGAATAATACCTCAGGTGTATATAAATAAACCGTTTGAACTATTCCGGTAATAAAAGCTCGCATTCCAAAAATCAGCAAAACTAACACTTTTCTAAAAAAAAGGTGAAAAACATTTTTATTGTACTATTGAAAAAAGTTCAAAAATATTTTTATTGAACTGTATTTATTTGTGACCTGTATATAGCTTATGTTACTTAAAATTTACTCAACCTGTTTAAGCATAGCTGAAGTGATGTTACAAGTAACGATGAAATAAAAAAAAATAAAACAAGTGTTGGCTTCCGTCCTATTTTCTCAACTAAGAAAAATGTAAGTAACAAGCCTAAAACAAAACAAAACAAAAAACATTTCAACTTTTTTATATACAAATAAAATAATCCAAACACACCCTCCAACACCCACTGTACCCAGACTTTTACTAAAACTTTTCAAAAAAAAAATACTTATGATATAAGCTTAAGTACAGCAATATCACATACCTGGTATCTCACCTAGCACAGTAATGAGATATTTAATGTAATTGTCACTTTCAACTACATGACATTGAACCGTGGTGTTCTGTACTGCTCTCTTGAAATCTAAAAATACTTTTCAGTTATTGAGTTCTATTTTTGATGTTTTCATGTTAATTCTGATTTAATTGTGGGAATGTGCAATTCACCATATCTGGGAGTTCTGAGAAAAGAGGTTATATATGATATGGTTATATGGTGTGAAAGAATAAAATTTTTTTTAGAATCGTTGACTTGTTTTAGAGATTTTTGCAAACATTATTTTTCTAATGGGTTTTAAAAATTGGCTTCAAGAAACAATAACGATTCTAAAGAAATTATTTCCTTCGATACATAAATACCTGGAATCCACTTTGCTCATCAAAGCTTTATTGTCTATAAAAAACATTGGCGGTTGCGGTACTTACGTATGGTCTTGAACTTTTCAATTATAAAGACGTATTAATGCAAAAGCTTGATATAGTAGGAAGGAATGCACTTAAGTCATTATTTAATGTTTCCAAACACATCAAAAATTAAATTTATTCTTTGTTTTACATCCAAGATGTATCAACAGTTGTACAGCAAAACAAGTTAAACTTATTTATTCACATATTGAGCAATAAAACATGTATAAATATGTATAAATATATAAACATACAATATACCTATACATAAATACATAAACATACAATATACCCATAAATGTATTTTGGTAAATACATGAGTATATGTATATTCATGTGCATACATACATGTATTCACACACACCTTTGTATATACATATTCATATGCATGTATCTAAAGACATGTAGGCATATACATGAATCACAATTATAAATACATATATATTGAACATTAGTGTTTACATATCTTGATATGCACAGAATGTTGTAGAAATTTAAACTATGCTGTTGGTGTTATTTATATTTAGTATGTAAAACAAAAACTTACATAATTATCAAACATTTGTTTTTTTTAAAGGGTTAAATTTAAAAAATATATATTTTTTAAATATTTTCCTATTTTGAAGGATAAAGTATTTTATGTAACAAAATTTACTACAAAGAAAAATTAAAATAAATAAAAAAATCCAATTTTTTTTTATTGGGTCAAAGGCTACCTGAGATTGGCTTTTGCCCCTTTTTATAACATTTTTCCAGATATTAAAAACTACGCTTATATTTAAAAGAATTTACTAGTGTCACAACATAAAATCTGGCAATAACTTTGGTATATGGTGATTATATTAAAAAACTGTGAAGTTTTTTTATTTTTTACATATTTAAAAAACCATAGTTTTTATGCAATAAAAACTAAAATTATATTCTTTATAAAAAATGATTATTATTTTTGAAATTTTATATTTGGTATTTCACTTCTTTTGAGACCCAAATTGACATACTTTCAAAGTTGAACATATAAAAAACAGTACTATATATAGGTCAGTATGAAATATGATGAAATCAGTTTTGAAAATTAGACTTAGTCAAGTTTATGAACTTAAACTATTGAATGGCTTTTTAGATGGCTTTTTAAATTAAAAAAATAAACAATAAAAAATAACAAGGCTTGCTTGTAACTTTTTTTCAATTATACTATTTCTGTTATTCAAGGCACTAACAGAAAGAAAATCAATGTTTTTATTGCATACGTATTTACAACAAGTTAAAATAAATACAATTTGCAGTGGTAAAATTTGTGGTTTCCACAGTTTCAAATTACAATATCTTGGGCATCACTATGTACAAATTTTTTATAAGCTTTCATAAATTGTTTAACTGAAGGGTTGTTATTAAATCCCAATTCTGTTACTTTAAAAAGCACAAAAAGCTTACACTTAATACTGATTTAACAATTACCAGAAGTAAAAATTCAGCTTTACAATTTGTCTGTAGTAAATATTTGACATTACCCATAATCACAACTATATTGTCTTGATTGCTGCAAAAAGCTGCTCATTTCTTCCACCATAGTAAAAAAAGTTTACTATGGTGCCTTTAAGCTATTGTTAAATTCGTGGCAGTCAAAATATAAAAAACAAAACATTTAACACACAAACTATAGCTTTTCAACAAAACCAATGCAGATATGCTAACCAGTCTGTTTTCCAAATGTAATCCTTCATTTTCTTAAAGTTGATGAAGTTTTTTAATATATTTATAAACTGACAACAACAAACAATGGATTTTTGTCTACAAACAGTGAATTTTTGTCAATATATTACATAATAACTTTAGCATGCATGAAGGATCTAAAAAATATACAACATGTTCTCTAATTTCTGGACGTTTGAAATTAAAACTAATGTCTGCTGAATATTGGATGAAAATTATTTCACAATTTACAAGTTAGAAACACAACCACCATATGTTAAAGATGCAGCAGTGATGTCAACATTATGAAAATTGGTAAAACACTGTTGAATCAAATCAAAGTTCTTGTTTATTGCAAGTCCACGTCAAAGTTTATTATCATGTGTCTAATCTTAACATTTATTACTCCAAAGATTTTTTCTTACCCTACTTTACTTGCAACTTTTTCCATCATTAAAAAGCTAAAAATACTTTTATATTTTGCTGCAATTTCAGAAAGTGCTGTGATGCTTTAATTTCACAAGTGTTGAGAAGTTTTTAACAAGTGTTAAAAACTTTTCAACACTCGTTAAAACTGTTGAAAAGATTTAAAGCAATTTACCATCTATTTTTGCATAAAATTTCTAGCAAATTTTCACTTTATATCTGCAATAACATTAAACCATTATACATGATAGACTTTATCTATATCGTAAAATATTTGTTATTGTAAAGCTTTTGACTATAGCTAGTGTGAGTCTTGCAGAGCTTGTATAGAAACTAACAAAAATTAAAAACTTAACCACGCAAAAAAGTCTCAGCAACTAGAAACATTTAGTCCTGCTTTGGATATGATTTCTTTAAATTTTCTTTGATGACTTCAGAGTTCCTTTATTATTTGCTCTAACTGAAAATTGTGATAGTAACTCCAGAAGTTGCAAGGGCTTTGGATCAAATGAATCTTCCTGATTGAGGAGCTATGTAAGTTGTTGCATCAATAACAAAGGTTTTAGGTCATCCTATTGTCAATCTGATATCATCTAGGAGCACCATCTGAAGATCTCAGTTAGCTAAACAAGAAGTTAAAGCAAAAAAGAATTCTTTTTGTAAAGAATAGGCTCTTCTATCTTTATTGGGATGGGAAACTACTTCCAGACATAGCTTGTGCAAAAGAAACCATAAAACAAATTGCTGTAATTGACTCGTGGAATCTAGAAGTAGTTATCAGCCCCAAAACTTGAAAGAAAAACTGGCGAAGAACAGCTAAAAAAAAAAACTGGCGAAGAACAGACTGTTGAATGCTAAAAAAGTACAAGTTGACTAGAATATACAAACAAAAGTTTGTTACTTTATAAAACTTCTCTAATATAGGTATCCATCTAGGTGCGTGCATTCGTATTGAGGAAGCTGTTGACCATGAACCTGTAAATATTGGAAGTCATCATCATATCTCGGAAATCATTCTGAGTAGCATCTTCACAACTATTTTTGATAGAACAGGTGCACTTAAAGTTGAAAAATTTTACATGGCTTCAGACGAGATGATCATCCATTCACTAAACAGACGAGATAATCATCCATTCACTAAACAGAGTATTTGCCAGCTAAAGACAAAATTTTAAAAACAAAATTTTTTTTTCTGCATCAGAGCTATAGACTATAAGTAGTCTCATGAGAATTATAAAAGATTTTCTTTCAGCTATGTCTTGTCTTTTTTGGTGAAATAAGTTTTAAAATGGACTCCAGAAGCAATGCACCATATTTAATGGGTGTCAAAGGCCATCAATTTCAATCAAAATTATGCTACTTGAATGCCATGTAGAATTAACTGCTCTTTTTTTCTCTCATTTTTAGATGTTTTTGGCATGTCTCAATAGACTTCATAAGCTCACCAGAATGACAAAACAATGCTTGGGATCCTCAAAAATTATCCAAATCATATTATTGCTGATGCGGCCTACACTGCATTTGCTCATCTGCAGCTTTTCTCAGAAGATTTTGTGGACCTAGCTTTCTTTGAAAATTGAGTATTTCCAAATGTCAAAGGAACCATGATAGCCAACCTCAAGCTTACAAAGACTTGGAAAGCTCTAAAAAGAATAAGTACAGACTTGAAAAGTCTGTACTACATGTACTGAGTCTTTTAATATACAAGGACTATAGTCTTGAAAAGTTTTTTACCTCAAAGAGCTTAGTATTAAAAGAAGATATTGGCAAGACTTTTCTGTTAAAAACTTCAAAAGCTTGAGATACTTGTTACCAAAATATTATGGATTGAGTTGACAAGATGTGATTGTTAAAATTGTATAAAAATATAATAAAACTTTCACCAAAAACAAGGATCAATAAAAATTTGTGTTTCAATTTGCCCAGAGACATCACAAGATTTATCAATTGTCCTCTAAGTCAGCCATGAAAGTGGTAGATGATATAGTAAAAGATTTAAGCAAATTAGAATAAATTCTGTTTTTATATACATGTACACTGTATTTATATACCATCTTTTGAAACCATAGTTGCAATTAAAATTTAAACTTTAAATATGAAATTTTGAAAATACAAACAAAGTTTTATTTTTTTCGATAACAAAGTTTCAACAAATTAAAAGAAACTTTACCAGAATTTGAAACATAGCAATCTGGTTTGCTTAAAAGAACATTTGTCAGCAAAATAACACCATAGTATGAAAAGATCGCTGTAAACCTAAATAAATAAATTTTTTGTATTATTATACTTTAAATGCTTTATCAATGTTTGGAAAAACAAATTAATGTAGTGTTCACATAATTAGATTGTACACATTTAAAAAAACAAATTACTGTAGTGGTCACATAGTTAGGTTGTTCACATTAAATAAACAAATTAATGTAGTGTTCTCTTAATTAGGTTGTACACATTTAAAAAAACTTTTTCTCTTTAATTCTTTTTTTTAAACTGTTTTTTTCCTGTGACCTAAACAGATAGGGCATGATTATAAAAACTTTCAAAGCAGTAATCTAACTTAAAAATAATTAAAATTTAAAGTAATTTTATTTCAAAAAATTGTTTCTACACATACTCAAATAATGTTGATATTTAGTTCTAACATTTCAAATGGATTACATTTGAAATGTTAGAACTCTTAGTTACTCTAAGCGATGTCAAGAGAGGGTTCAATACTGTAAACTTAAAGTTAACTTGGTGTTATCTAAGAAGGTCTCATTCTATAGAACATTTTTATTGTAGACATAGCTTGGAATTACTTTAGGATCTTCCAAAAATCAAACTATCAAAAGTTATTGTTTTTGCAACATCATCTAATAATAATAATCATCTCAGTTATTTAATAGTTTAATTACAAATTGAAATTTTCAAGCTGTTTCGTGAAATCAGACAACCGTCACTATTAATTTAAGAAAGATTTAAAGGCTATTTAAAGTTTATACAAATTTATTTAAAATCTTTCAATATGAAAGTCTGCTAGTGATTTATTTAGTTTTTTCTAGTAAAATTCAATCTTATAATAATTATTATAATTTTAATTACATATATAATAATTATAATATATAAAATATATAAAAATAAATATAAAATACATTATAATAATTTTAAAGATTAAAAGAAGTCAAGAACTTTATTTGTGGAAAATGAACTCAAAAGATTGTAAATTATAATTATTTTTTTTTAAATTTTTTAATTTTATTTGAATTTTTATGCTATATTTTTCTATACAATGGCATATCTGAAGATATTGTTGACTTAGCATAGAAACAGCCACAAATAGTCATTAAGAATAAACTAAAGTAGTGTCCGTTATTGACCATACATTTGGACCTGTATCGTATGACAGTCCGAGTTTTAACTTTTTGTTTGACGCTCTAACCAACTGAGCTATCTACCCACAGATTTATATGAATCAGAAAAACAAGATAAAGGAAGCAAATTCTGAAAGATTGATGTTAGAGGAAAAAACTTGACAAATAAGCAATTTTGGAGCACTTAGGAATAGCCACAGTAAAAGGATGAGACTTAAATTTTTGTAGATGGCACAAGAAACACAAGCTCTTTAGAGCAGTGCCCAGTAGTATTTATAAAAAAGAGAAAGAGAAGCAACATTATAAAGATGTGATAATTGTGAGAGGTGTACTGTAAGAGGAGGTCCAACTATGTTTACAATGCATTTCTGCACCTTGTCTAAAAGATAAAGGGCATGATTGGAAGATCTGCCCCAGATATGGCAACAGTATTCCATACAAGGATTTGAGATTTACTGAGATAAAGAATAGAATCCTGAGTAAAAAAGTGGCTACCACGATAAAGAGATGTAACATTAACAGTTACTGATTTCAAAATTTAATATATGGTTTCCAAATTGATTCCAACGGATTTAATATATGATTTCTAAATTGATTCCAATTGATTTAATATATGGTTTCCAAAAAAGATAAGAGTTAATAGTAGAAGATAACACCATAGTATGAAAAGATTGCTGTAAACCTAAATAAAGAAATTTTTTGATTAGATTCAAGATAAGAGATTAAGTGTTTGTTTATTAAAGACTTAAAAACCTTGCTTATGATAGTAAGAGATGGTAGTTAGACAAGATACTAATGAGATGGTAGTTACACAAGTCAGAGCCCAGCACACTGGAAATCAAGACTCTGATGAGCACTAGTTAATAGTTTTAAAAGTATAAACAACAGCTCCAGAGAACACTTCAGGCACAGAAGTTGGAGTGTTACAGCGGTTAGACAATGAATTTGCCTTTTTTTCAACTATATCAGATAAAATGCAACTAGTGGAATCAAGAGATGATATCGATGAGAAATTCTTAGCAAACAGTTCAGCTTTGTCTTTAGGTGAGGTGACAAAATCTTGAACCATACAAGAACGGTGGAATAACAGATTTACCCTTGTTATAGATACTGTTAAGGATTCTCCAGAAGTCATGAGAGAATTTTTGAGATAATTTTGAGACTTGAGAATAGGTTTGGCATTAGGCAAAAAAACCTTTTTACAATGACTTCTAGCAGTAGTAAACAGACGTCTGTTTTCTGGAGAATTGTTTTGCTGATAGATATGAATATGATGGTCACAAACGTAAATTGCAGCAGCACAATGCGACGAAAACCATAGAAAAGAGTGAGGTTTGACTTGGAATTGTCAAGAGGGAATAAAAGATTCCATGCCAGCCTGAATCCAAGAAGTTACAGAAGAAGCATATTTGTCAGCAGGAAGACAAAAGATTTCTACCCAAGGGCCATCATAAAGAAAATTGTGGAAAGAGTCCCAGTCAGCTTTAAATTAGTTGTAACAATGGAAGGCAATTCTGATAAATAAGAAGAATAAGATAATAGTTTATAGAGATTAAATTGTGATCAGAAGCACCTGAGGGTAAATGTGGAGAAACTGAGTACTGACAAGAATCAGAAGCAAGACATAAGTTGAGTAGAGAAGGTAAATGATTCGGATTTTCTGGAAAGCGAGTTGTCTAGATCTTGCAATAAATTGATATCATCAAGAATTTCAAATGCCTTTTCTCTTTTAATCAAATTTGATTATAAATACCATTACAGAGCAAATTATTTTTTAGTAACTCATGTTAACAAATTTAGGATAAAAAAAGTGTCTAATTGTGTGACCAAGTAATAAATATGTTTTTTTGTTCTCTAAAATATATAAATATATTTATATATATAAAATTACAAATTAAAAAAAACCAGACCCCTCCGGGGGAGATAAATACAGTAAAAAAATAAAAATACATATATAGTGTTTATAGTGAACAAACAAAACTTTTCATATATTTACCATATATTATTTACCATAGCAACCAGAGAATAAGCGTAGTTCTTCGATGTTCACATTGTAATAATTCTAAAAATTTTCCTCTATTTTTGCTTTCCTAAAAATAAACATGCTTTAATTTCATCGCCATCATAAAAAAAAAATTATATCACTTTTGCTTTATCCAAATCTCATCAACTATTTACAATTAACTTTGTCCTTACTAAATATGATTTATACACATAAATTTTGGCATTGGCAAAATGCACAAACACTGAGATTTTTAATAGGTAAGTGTAGAAATTAAGTGCAGAAAAAGGGTTAGGGCTTCAGGGCTTCAGTACACACACCAACTGATTTAGAAAAAACATGCAAAGGAGTATTGCTACATTGACTTAGAGTTGGGGTTAATATTAGGAGCAATTTTCTGCTATTTATTCCTGCATTTTACCCATCGACAATTTCAGCATTTTTACATTTTATTTTTGTCTATTAATTTTATCCCTCCAACTGTCAACAACAACTAAAAGAAATAAAAACAAAGACTTGATCTTTAGACCTCCAAGATATTTACAATTTTGTGAAGACAATATATGAGTTTTGCAACTTCTAAGTTTTTAATATAGAAGTAACTACAAAAATAAACATCTGTGTGAAAAAATTACAAAATGATTAATGCACTCGTAATAGACATTTTTGTGCATTAGTGTACCTATATAGGTAATAAAAATTGTATACTTTAACAAGAAAATATAGTAAGTGTGAAGATAAAAATAGTAAAAAAATTTAACAATATCCTGTAAACACATTTTAACTTTAATTATTTTACTTTGAAACACATTGGTTCACATTTGTTCAAATACTTTGTGGAGCCATGAAGGCTAAAAATTTTGCTATAGCAATAGTGCTTTGATCAAATTTTTTATAAATACTAGTTATCAAGATTATTATAAAAACCACTATTACAAAAATGATTATCCTGCAGCTACTGACAACCAAAAACAACATTTATTTGCGTATTTCCAAAAGTCAACATTTTCCGTTGACTTACAGAAATAGCTTTTTAAAGCAAAAACCAGAAGTTAACTCTAACTTAATAAATTTACCTGCTTTCTGATAAATTCACCTAGCTCCTGATTGAGTAAAGACTACACCTTTTCAAGATATAACATGAAAGTTGTAATTAAGAAACCACAATATGTAATTAAGAAACACTTTAGATATTAGTTATTTAGATATCGTAAAAAGTAATTGAGAACAACAAAACATGTGATTAAGAAATGTAAAGAATATGTAATTAAGAATACATAAATTGTAATTAAAAAAATAGTAATATGTAAATGAAAATACATTACTTGTAATTGTGAATTCAAAATGTAAGTTTATAGGTCATCGTAACAGACACTACTTCATGCCCCACTCGTTTGAAAGGGAGTTTGAAAATTCTTCAGCTTAGTTGTAATGTTTAGACCTTACAGACCAATGTTGGACTGTAGGGTCAATCTGGCTTAAAATTAAAAACAATCTGGCCTAAAATTGAAAGTATCCCTAAAAATGTGATTCACATTACATCTGTAATTAGTGCTGGGATTGTGGTACAATGAGTACAGTATTTTAAGAGAATCGGTACTGCGACAAAAAATACAATAATAGGAGGGGGTTGTACATGTGCTGCTTAACATACTACAAAACACAATGATTTATAATATGAAGATGCCCAAATCGGTGTTTAATTGAATATGACAATGATTTTTAATGACATTGTTAAAATTCGATTTAAGTCTTGTAAATAAATTATTTATATTTTATTTATTATTCATCTAATTTCTCAAATGAATTTTTCACCAGCAAAAAAAAACTAAGAACAGGTAATATTTTTCTAGTTTATGCTAAAACCGCAAATTCCTTTTTCATCATTTTTTTATTTTACTGATAGTATATTATTATTTATTGAAAACCAACCTATAGGTCCACCTTGGCCAAATTAGGAACCAGTCTTTAATTACAAGGTAAATTAAGCAACAAAATTAAAAATGCAAAGAACTTTGTTCTGAGAATAAACATTTCTTAATTACAACTTAACTATCAACTATATCTTGCATTTCTTAATTACAACTTTTATGTTCTAAACTATATCTTACGTTTCTCAATTACAACTTTCATATTCTCAATTACATCTTATGTTTCTTAATTATAACTTTTAAGTTTTTAATTACATTATGAAAAGGTGTAGATATGATATTTCAACAAAAAATACTCACCTTGGGCAGATGTAAAATGCATCTGGCTACATTCTTGTTGAAGGCTATGTTAGACTTCTTGTTTAAGTTAGATAATAGACAAACATGCAACTCAATCTCCAACTAAAATTAATCAACTCTAAAAATTATCTCCGATACATTTGTTAAACTCAGTATAATGATTCTAAGGTCAGCCAGTGATAATGATTCCCAAACTTTGCAGTTCTATGTAGCTCTCAAAGTGACTTCATCAAAACTTTTATAATATAAGTATCATAAAACATGGCGTCTATTGTGTCTTTGGTGTCAATTGTTAATGCCAATAAGAGTTTGACTCAAAAAAAATTTTTGAGTCTTAAAACAATTTAAACTATGACTAAAGCACTTAAAACATAAACAAATAAATAAATACATAAACAATCCCTAAATTTCAATCCCTAAAGTACATCTTATACAACTCACTAAAAAAATTATTTGATAAGATTGTCATTAAATTTCATATTATCAAACATTTGTGATCTTCAAAGCAAAATCTCTATGATATTCAAAGTAACTTTTTATTCTTAGACTATTCTTTATGTGTTTATGTTTAGCAACATTTCACTCAATCGCTTTTCTTTTTGTTCTTTATTAATAATTCAAGCTCTTTCTTTTTATTTGTCTGTTAATACTGTTACAGGTTCTGGATTTTGCTTCGTAACCAAAAAGCATAATGTAAGTAACTCAATACTAAATATTCTTAATACTAAATATTCTCAAGTAACTCATATTTGCATTGTTAAAAGTTAAATTACATAAGTTGGGTATTTTAAACTACCATAGTGTAATTAAATTTAATTTGAAACCTCATTAAAAATCATTTAAAGACTTTGTCTTTGTAAAATATTTCTAAAATATCTTTAAATTAAACAATTTTGTTATAAAAATAATTATCAATAAAACTTAAATATTTTTTTTGAAAAAAATAAAAAATTTCCTTATTTTAAAAAACTTATTTAATCTTTACTTTTTATTTCTTAAAACATTATTAACATATTAACAAACATCATCTTATGTTTGCTTTCTAATAACTTAGGTGTTTTTTTTTTTTACATTTTAACTTTAACAAAATTTTCAACAATTACTCATAAACTAGTTAATCATTTCTATTCAACATTCATTCTATGATCTGCAGCCATGGCACAGTGGTTGGAGTTCTGGTTAAACCAAGAGGTCCAAGGTTGGACGCCAGCTCTAGCACAATAAGCGACATTAGTAAAAAAGGAGGCATGACTTCCTAGGTAAATGCTCTATGCTCTTTGGTAGTGCTCTGTGATAAGAGGGTAAGGACTTCTAGGATCACACAAATAAATAAAAATATACTAAAGGGCAACAATTATACCATCAATCTAATATAAATCAATGATAATGAAATTTTTTTTGTTGAAAAGCGATTTTAAAATTAAAAAAATCTTTTCATAAATTTGTCATGTAAAGTTTCCTAAAAAAATCCCTCATATTGTTTTGACTACATGGTTGACTGTCTAGCCTGTATCCATTTATACAGTTATAAGTGCATTAATCATTAGTTCATTTATAAAAAAATTATTGCTAATTTATTCATTACAAAATAATACCTTATATTGTAAAAAATTATAACTTATTAATATTTTTATATTGTAAAAACTTTTGAAGGTCAATAATAAATTTCTATACTTACAGTTTTAGTATACCTGGAATGGGGTCAAGGTTAAAAAAAAAAACAGAACAGTTTTTAAAATCCCCTCTACCAAAAAAAACCCTATATTTTTTAACTCAAAAAGGAAGTGGAAAAATTTGTATAAAAAAGTTCTGGGAAAGCATTTAGCAACTTTTCTTTGCTGATTTAGGTTAGCACTGACTTAATATAATTTGCACACTTTAAAATTTAAAACAGATAACTGTAGAGAAAAGAGGAAGAGAGAGAGAGATGGATTTTGACAACACTATTATGAACATGAGATGGTAAAACATAATTAGTATTAATGCAACAATTTATTATTGACTTAAAAAATATTTTATAACTTAATGTATTTATAATTTTATTATAAATAAGTTAGCAAAACTTTTTATGACAACTTTTACATATGACAAAATTTTTTGCTTTGTGATATTATTTGTGATAAAAGTGATATTTGATACCTAAATTTTAAGTTTAAAAAAAATGATGATGCATCACTATTTTCAATTTTAAATATACCCTAATTAGATATTTATAAGTTTATATGCCTAAATTAGATATTTATAAGTTTATATGCTTTTATTTTTAAGTTTATATGCAGTTACAGTATTTTAAAAAATAAAATTTGAATTCTTATCTGTTCATGTATGGAGCACTCTTTTTTATATATTGGGTGGTTCTTCTAAAGATGCTCTTTTGGTTTAAGACTTGGTCTAATTGTAAATGTTGATCAAATCTAGATCAGGTCTAGCTGTCAAGCTTGAGCTTCATTGTAGTAAGGTCTCTTTTAATTTAAGTATATTGTAATCTTTTACTGTAATTGTTTCTTCATGTTCAAAAACTTTTATTTATCTGTTTTTTTCTTAACCTTAAATACTATGGAATTCTTTTATATTTTCATTACTTTTTATCTCATACAGCATACAGTTTATCAAGATATTTGTGGACTGTTTTCCCTCTACTACTGTTTTCTTATACCCTCTACTTAACTATTTTTAACTCCTAATCCAAATAATGGTTGCTAGCAGAATTGTTAGGAGTAAAACAGTTTGGAAAATTTGAAAAATGTTGAATTATGAATATAAATTTTAAAATAGAAATAGAGTAATTCTTACACCGTTATCATGTGAATGCAAATGTCCTTCTGGTAAATCTTTCATACTTGTCTTTGCAACTCTTTTCAAAATATTAAAAGCTTCTTTATAGTTTCCAACAGCAACCAAATATCTAGGTGATTCAGGTAACCACTAGAAAAAAAAATAACTTCTAAATATAACCTCTTTATTAGAGTGCCCATTATAAATTTTTTTTTATAAACCTTTACTTTCATCCCCTAATTGTGTTCCATATATTAAAATAACACTAGATTTTAAAGTTTAGAGGTTGTTCACAGCCAATAAACATTGCACGAATCTTAATGATTTAAAAGAAAAATGTCTTCAAATATGTCATTGGGGGTATCAAAAAATGGTAATTAAAAAAAAAGGGATATTAAATCAAATTTTAAGGATAACAGTCATCTTTTATATAAACATCTTCAAAACAAAATTAAAAAAAAAAATCATATAAAATTAGTTTCTGATTTCATGGTAAAAAACCATATTTTCTATTTTACTTCTTTTGAGATTTATTATGAGACAAATTAAAACAATTAAAAAAAAAAAAAAAAAAAGTCTCATTTTCATGGGTCTTAGGAAACCAATAAATATTTTTAAAAACTAACTAAAGAAATTTAATGTCATTTTATCATATTGAACACAAATTAGTGATTGACAGTAAACATTTTTAATAAAAATGATTCGCACCCCCTCATCTAAAATTTATATTAACTTTGTCAGCAATTTATTTATAACTTAACAGTTTTCTTTATAACTAATTTATTTGTAATTATAAAATAACTTATCAACTAACAATAATCTGTTTATAAATTTTCTTTAAATTTTACTGAGTTGGTAATCGATAAGCATGTTTAAAATCATGTAAAATTTGAAAAATATCTATACAGACACACACTCACCCACATAAAAACAGAAACAATAACTATTGGTGAACCACATAGAAGTGTAAAAATTCTCCAACCCAAAGATTTTAATGTAAAATATGCAAGAAGCACTGAGAAAATATTACCAATGACATAAAAAACCTATAAAATTAAAATAATCACAGTAATAAATGTTTTAATATCAACCAAAATGGCTTCTTTGTAATTAAAAATTAAGTTAAACTTTACATTTATAAAAATAATTCCTGATGCCCGATAAGAAGCTGGCAAAAACTCTGAATAAAGGGTCACTCTAAACATACAAATAAAAATCAATTGTAATCAACTTGTTTACAAGTGTAAAAATAGATGTTAACTTATTTAAGAAACATTTACTCACGACTGTCCTACACCAGCCACCCCAAAACCTTGTATAGTCATTGAAGTAAGTAACCACAAATAGTGAGGGACAACAGAATTGACTAATCCAAATAAGGCAATCCAAATCACACTGATAATTACAGTCTATATGTTAAAAATTCAATTTAAAATTTGTTTTAATAATAATGATTTCTAAAAATACTTTGTAAAAAAAAAAAGACATAAAAAAAATCTCACCACTTTTCTGCCAAATCTATCACAAATAAAACCCCAAAACGGACAACCAAAAAACATTCCAATGAATACACACTGTAACAAAGACAACAAAATTAAAAAAAAAAAAAAAAAAAAAAAAGCAAAGTGTAAAACAAATAACAAAACAAACTTAGAAAACTAAAATTAGTAATAATTACATAATTTTAAAAATTAATGGAAATAAAATATATAGAACTGCACAATATAAAACATATTAAGGAGACAAAAAGTTGATGTTAAGAAGGAATTAACAAATGTATAGGGATATTCGGGAGATAATAAAATAGATACAAAATGGGGATAATTTAAAGAAAACCAACTTTGTATCAATACTTTAACATTTATTGCTATTTGCTGGTTGCTATTTATTTCAACGAGTTTAAAAAACAACAAAAATTTTTTGAATTTTCCTTTTGATTTTTAGTCTAGAAAATTTAATTGCAATTTGTCTGTAATAACATTTTAAAGTTTTAAAAGTTGTTTTCAAGTTTTAAAAGCTGTTTAGGAATCAAAGATAAAAAGAAAGGGATTTAATTTTGGCTGTTTCTGTTAACACAATTTATTTTCTTTGACTTCTATGGTCAGCTTAAGTTAAAAATAAAGTTGAATATTTGTAATTGGAAAGTGAAGCCAAGTGAAAATATGGCGCTTCTAATATGCATAGTACAAGAAAATTGTACATACACTTTTTTGAAAAACTGGTTGGCAGTGGAAGTTTGCTTTCTGAACCATTTTATACTTCATATAAAATGGTTCAGAAAGCAAAAATACATATCAGAAAAAATAAAATTAAAGTATTAACTGTAAGCAGTGACAGTGACATCAAAACGGTAGATTTAGGGATTAAATTTTTTTTTTTTTTTGTTTATTATGAAAATGTAAATAAGTTGCACAAAAAGAAATGCAAAAGAACAAACTTTTACTTTTATTAACTTTACATATGAATTTTATTAAGCGAAGAGTCTAAAAAAAAAAAATCTTGTTCACAAAGATTAAGGGTGTATTAGATATTTTTGCCGGATATACCAGATAATGAACTTAACAAGTGAAGTAACAATGAACAGTAACAAGTATTGCCATTCAACATTAAATAGTGTTAAAGATTTAAAAAAATAAAATCAGGAAAAACTGGTATAACACAGGTATATGCATTGATAATGTATAGAGAAAAATCATTTTTTTAGGCAATTTTTTTTTTTTAAATTACTATTTTCTATATTTGGTCCATTTCATACAGTTTTTCACTGATTTTTTAAAGTAAGATTCTGAATACTTTTTATTGTAGACTGGCAAGACTTGTTTTTTTTTTATAAACACTTATAGAATCTTAGAAAAGTTCACTATCTGGCATATCCAGTAAAAAAATCCAGTACACCTCTAACAAAGATGTTCCAACATAACTTTAGGAGACAAACAAGAAGTACTATGAACTAGACTACTCTTCAAGATATATAATAAAGCTTTGTAAATTGGACCTTGTGAATTTTTAACAAATTTATTTATTTAATAAGTTACTGATTGACTACCGTTGATACCACAGCAACTTCTTCTTCAGATAAATTCCAATAGCATTGTATTGAGGGACCTAGTACTGCCAACAAAGTAACAGCAATAGCATCAGCCATCTAAATATTATACATAATGTAAACTAGTTTTATATATATTTAAATTTATTACTCAACTTTAGTAGAAAAAAATTACCCAAGTAAGTCCAACAGCTACAGTAAGTTTTACATGGAATTTTCCAAAGCCTAAAACTTCTATGACATCATTTAGTGTGAACGTTGTGTCAATATCTGTTTCTAAACATTCATAAAAAAATTGTTTATACTTACTATTCAAAATTTTGTACATGAAAAATGAAAACAACTAATGTTTTGGCCTATATTTAGTAAATTGTTAGAACCTAGAATATTAATGTTTTTAAAAACTGAATATATATTTTTTTCAAATATGGTTTTAAATAGAATATGAAGTACTTAATATAGCTGATTTGAGTTTGTTCAACTTTGTTCTTCTTGGACCTTTTATGATTGCTCACAATGGCTGCTGAATTTTAACTAAAACAAAACTCTGTTATTTACTGGTAACAGTTGTCAATGTTGAAATTCTGATAAATGACAACACTTTTACTGAGTCCTTGATTTTCTGAGTGTTTTTAATTAGACACCTTTTATGGAAACCATACCTGACCATTGCAAAGTTAGCATATGCTAACTTTGTTTCTTTTTATATTTAGTTGCTTGTTACATTCCTTTATTACTTCTAATTACTTCAAATTATCAACTGATATTTATATTGATAATTATCAACTAAACACCTGATTACTTTTAATTATATTCTCTACCATTACTGCTTTTTTAAAAACAAGATTAAAAAAGCATTGTAGACAAAGTTGGACCTGCTTTAGCTGATAAACTTGAGATCATTGTTTTAAGTTTGCATTACTTGCTTTTTTCTACAAATACTACTTGAGCTATTGTTTCTTGTTCCATTAACTAATACAATACTTTGTGAATCTACAGCCAGTAAAGTCGCTTTTATTGTGAATCTACATTCAGCTAAGTTGCTTTTATTGTTAATTATGCTTAAAATATCTTTATTAATCTAGTTTTTATCTTTAAAGAATGTTTTTTAATTCTCTCCTTTTTTCAATATTTAATGACTCATACAACAGTTTCAAAGTGTCTTAAGTTTACTTATTCTTTAACTCGCTTATTAAATCTCCAAATTAATGACACAAAATTAGCAACATTATTCAATTAAAATTAAATAAATGACAGTTTTGGAAACCTAATGTATCATTTTCTTTACGTGTTCCACACAAACAAGTAAACTTTTCAGAAATGAAAACATCTTTCTTACCACATTCACAATGTAAATATTCAGAATAGATGTTTTTTCTGATGTACAACAGAATCTTCTGCTTATCAAGATATTCCATGAATTTAATTTGATTGTGTAAAACTTATATCAAGTAAAATCTTCTTTACAAATATATCATTGATATATAGTATAGTAACACAAAATGTTTAAGTACGTTCTACAAACGTTCATAGGACGTTCTTAAATGTTCGCAACGTTTGTTGAACGTTTTGTATTAGCTTGGTACTTAAACTCAGCTACTTTCAATTTGTAAGATATAAATTTTATCTCAACCCAACAAGAAAGGTATACATGGTTCACATGTGGTCATAGTGTGTATGAGTGAAAAAGTGTAAAATTATAAACAAGTTGATGATTGATATATAATCTCATGATCAATTTCCAAATACATGAGGAACACATAATGTAGCTTGCAGTTTTTAGTAATTTTGTTAGTCTGTTTAAGCCAATTTTGTAATGAATCATCTTGAGAGATGTTATACATCAAAAAATTTCATATAAAACTATAAAACTTTACATAAAAATAGGAATTTCAACCTTAAAGAGGAGTGGTAAATTGTCAAATGCTTCTCACACATGACCCACATTAAACTTTCACGCACAAATATATAACATTAACTTTTATAAAGTGTGGTTTTCAGTGGTCAAAGCTTTATAGCCATACATAGACCACACTAATACCATCCCATATAGGAGAGTGATAACCATGTTTTACATATGCTTTCCACTAGTGGCCAACATGAAACTTACATTTAAAACTTAGTGTAGCATTGCTTCTGATTTAGCATGGTTTTAATGCTTATATATTGTATTCTGATTTAGCATTGTTTTAAAGTATTACAGCCACACATGGACCGCAGCAATTCTATCTCATAAAGTAGAGTGGCACGTACAGTCAATGTGTAACTGCTATATATGTCTAACATTAAAAATTTATTGTCAGGAAAGCAGCATACAGCTACTAAATTAAGAAAAGTCTAATCTACATAATTTTATTGAAAGTAACAGTGTTAACATATTTGTGACATCATGTCTCACCAATTGTCTTTTACCTGTACAAATTGAATTAAAAAAATCCTTATTCCAATAAGTTTTAAAAACAATTTAAACAAAAAATTAATAACCTTCTTTAAACCTCTTTAGGGTTACAATACATTCCAGATATTCAATTACACGAATGAGGTGTCATTTTGTCCAAAAATTTCGAAACATTGACAGTTGGGTCTATAAGTACCACTACCATTATAGCCATGCTTGATAACAGTTTTCTTTTTAAGAAAGGTCTTTAGATTTTATAAGTGAAGAGAACATCATCATATTTATTAGGATGCTTATAGGATGGTACTCAAGTGATGGTCTCTTCAAAAAAAAGTTAAATGCTATAAGTGGAAAAATTGTTTGTTTTTTTAAGAAAGTATTTTACTATTCTTATCCTAAACTTTTAAATTAGTTAAACGCATAAATTTAAATTAGCTTTAAATTGCGTAAAGAGAAATGCCAGCAAGATTTTTTGATGTTTCAGATAAGGGTTGTTTACAAACTATTTCAGCCAAAAGTGGTGGGAAAGGAAGAGGAGAGAGGTAAGTAACTTTGTGATGATTTATTAGTTGGAGTGTCCTATTTTGCAATACAAGAATTATTATTATTACTTTTTTATTTGGTAAAGTTTAAAATTGAGTTAACTCTAAGTTTAAAATCTAGTCAATTTTTTTTAAATTTAAAAGAGTGCCTGGCAAAACAAAAACCTTTACTTGGTGTATCTACACTTCCCAGCCCCTATCCCTCATCATACACTCTGTTACACATGCGGCTTTATCATTAAATGTTATCTAAATCATAAAAATGAGCTTGTAAATAATTGATGATCATAAACATAGAACTTAAACATAAGATAGTTTTAAAAGTTTAAATTAAACCTCTTGATAAATTTAAATTTAGTATAACTTAGCAAAAAAATATTAAAAGTTATTAAATTTATTACTGTCAAATTTGGGGTAGGATAGCAAACATTTTTGTGTATTTTCTGTTAGCTCCAATATCTTTATTTTTTTTTTTCAAAAAAATATCATTTTATATAAGCATAAACATACTTGAATTGCAAGTTTGCACAATGATTAAAATTGTCTTATCTAAACATCAAAAAATCCTAGCAGTACCCCTGACTGTAATGTAACAGCGCTGTATCGTGTAATTTCCTGACACCTCTGTTATACAAATCAAGTAACTTCCTGATACCAAATGCATATAATAGTACTAAAACTTTTTTTACTTTTAAATCAAAAAACCATTATAATAAACCATTATGATCAATTATCAACTCAATAAATTTTATATAACATATAATTCATTATAAACAATTATCAATTCAACTAAATTTAAAACAAGTTTTTGTAAACCATATAAACAACTTATTATAAATCATTATAAATTATTATAAACTATATATTTAAACAAATTATTTTAGACCATATAAACATTATAAATCATTATTAAAAATTGAAATAAAGATATGCATACCTAATAATATGCATAATTAATGATAAATAAAAACATGTAAAAATAAAATGTAATATAAAATGAAAAAATAAATAAAGCGCAAAATCGTTCAGAATCTTGACAACTAAAACTTTTATTATGGAAACTTTACCCTGGTGATACTCAAGTGATGACAAGTATAAAACGTAATTTTTTTAGCATCATCATTACTCTTTATTACCCTATTATTAATATTACCCTAGAGTATTTCAACAACTAAAAGTAAAAGTTAAGTATCTGCCTAAATATTTTGACCTTAATAGAATCTTAAAATACACCTACCTTTCAGATGATGACAAGTATAAAATGTAATTTTTTTTAGTACAACTCTAATGTTGCCCTCCCCCAGCACCTAAAATTTTATTATACTATACATATATTTAATAGCTTTTAAATCATCAAAACAAAATTTTTCATTCTAGATTTAAAAAATATCTATGAAGATATACCATTCTGTATTACCAATGATATTTGTGTAGTAGGCAAATATTATTTTGAAGCAGTTAAAAATTTATTAGCAGTTTTTTCTTTGCATATAAACTTTCTATAATATAAAATAAAAGTTACTTCTTAATATAATGTTATTAACAAACATAAACTGAAACCACTGATTTTTTCCCCATTGATCTCGTGATATAGAGAGCCATGTTAAATCAATAACTTCTGCAAATGTGAAAAAGTTTTTTGGTAATACAAAGAAAGCGAAAGTACTGTTAATGGTTTATATTGTTGTTCTTGATAGTTCAGGCACGAAAAGCTTTCCAAGTTGAAAAGCCTGTCATGCTGTAATGTTGAAGGTTAGTTTTCAAAAGCCTTTTAGCAATGGGAGATTTTTTCTTTAACACTTACTGTTGCAAAAGACAAATGCATTTATTTGTTTATGAGGCAGTTGTTCCTAAGTTTGAGTTTTTTTAGTAAGAACCTTTCCTTATAACAATCTATGGTGTAAATAGAAATAATAATAGCAAGTCTGTTAGATAGATTTTCCATCAGCATTTGCAAGAACTATACTATCCCAGTAAAAAACGGAATACTCTGGAGTGAAAAATTTCTTCCAAATGTATAAATTACAGTAACGCTTTTTTTTTTTCTAAATTTCTTGTTGGTTTATCCCAACGTAAATCTACTGTATAAAAAAGTATTCTTAGTGATTTAATCAGGGTAAATGACAACAATATGTGCAATATCATAAAAAACTTTAGGTGCCTCAGGGCACCTAAAAAATATCGTCACATAAATTGTATAATTACATTATCATATCATTAGCAAAAAACTTCTATTGCTTTTATTAAGATATTAATTTTTCATTTTTTACAGAAAAAACAGCAACTTGATAAACTCGATAAACAACCAGTAACATAGCGACAAAAAATGCTTACCCTCTCCTCCGCAAAATTTTATTCCGGACCTTTAAATTTTACTTAAGAAATTTACACTAGACTTAAGGTTACTTTACTTAAGAAATTTACAATAATGTAAAGTTTGAACCACGAGGGGTGACAAATTTTATATGCTTATAAATTTCGAAAGCTAAGAGATTTTTCTATGAAATTTGTTATAAATGAATACTAATTTGGTTAAGAATAATATTTTATCAGCTTGTTGCTTTCACTTTGATCGCCTTTTATGTGACTTTTTTCTGCCAACCATACACTCGAAACACATTCATAATGTTAATAAATCCAATATTTACTAGGGATGTACCGAAGCTTCGGCTTCGGCTTCGGCGTGCCGAAGCTTCGGCAATTTTGCCGAAGCTTCGGTTCGGCCGAAGCCAGGTCAATTTTTTGCCAAACCTTTGGCTTCGGCAAAAAATTTTAAGTAATTAAAGTTATAAGCTACTGTGGGACAAGTTATAAAAATAAGCTAATTGCCAGTGTCTAATAAAGTTATAAATTTAGGACTACAGAGTTAAAGTTGGAGTCTATACCATATACTTAGTATTATTTACTCCCAAGTGTCTTGTTATGGAGGGGATAATAATAAACAAGTAAAAATATTTTGAAAAAAATAATAAAATTAAGGAAGGTCCTCATACACTTTGAAAGTTTCCAAGTGTGACTTTAGATGAATTGAAGCAGCATTTCTATGCAGAATAAAAACCTTATAGTTTAAAACAAATTAAAAGTTTTTAAAACCTTAATTTGTGTTATGTAACGAATTCATATTAATTATTGTGTGGGATTACCGCAAATAAAACAAAATTTGGTTTCAACATTTGACCGATAAACCTTAGTAATCTCTCTTTGAAGAAGATTAAAGATACGTTGCTTTTATTTTAAATTGTGTGTATGTTTAATTTTTTTAAATTTTATTTAACCATATTAATAAAAATTTACAAATTTTCATCGTAAATTTACAGAAATTGGTTAGATGTCACTTATATAGATACAAAATAGTCAATGGAGTGACACATAAAAAACAAAAAGTTCTCAACAACAAAAAAGAAAGAAAAGCAAATGAAATATAAACGAGGAGAATAAAAAAAGAAAAAAAAAGCCAACAAAAATTAGATAAATTAAAAGAAAAAGAAAAACAATGATAATAACTATCCTTGCTCTTTTATTAATATTATGAATACTTCTAAATTGAATTGATATATTAAACATGTAAACCAATATTCTGGTTTCTTCTTATGATATTATGAAGACTTTTAAATTTTATTCAAAATAAATTAAAGGTTGAAGCTTTGATTACTTTGAGCTCTTATATTTATCATCAAAATTTATTTAAATTAAATAAACAATTTAAATCAAATAAATATCAGCCTGCTCAGTCCCTGTTTATTTATAGGTATAAAGTAAATAATAATATAATTATAAATAAAAAATCTATAAAGTATTCTATTTATTATTTTATTTAAAGCTCGCTCTACAGAGTTGTTAGATTACTTTGGAAGTTTTTATCACAGATAGTTAATATTTGATTTCAGTTACTGATGCAGATTTATCCATTATAGAGGCAGAAGAAGAATGAATACTAAGATTTCAAAGTATAAAAGATTAAAAAAAGCTATAGAAAATGTTATGTGGTGTTAAGTTAAAAATAATAAAAAAAAAAAAATTAAAAGTGTGTAAAAAAGAAGTTAGAGAGAAATCTATCATTTGTACTTTTTTTTAGCAGCAGGTTCACAACAGTTGTAGTGGAATCCAAAATGGTCTTAACTTGGTTTTTTTTTAGTCGATGCGGTCAAGTATCAGAAACGACATAATGAGAAACTTTTAAACAGGGGTGCTGAGAGCTTTTGCCCTGCCTGAAACAGCAACCCTGACTGGCGTCCTCATTTTTATACAATTTTTCTATATTATTAGTCAAGGACCTTAGTTTTGGTACCTTTTTTGTTTTACACCCCTGCTGAATGCTGATTTAATTTTAAGCATATATAGTGCCAAAGCTTCGGCTTCGGCCGAAGCTTCGACTTCGGCAAAGTGGCTTTGGCCGAAGCTTCGGCTTCGGCAAAATTTCAGCTTCGGTACATCCCTAATATTTACATTCTCGTTTTAAAAAAAATATGCGCGCGCGAAAAAAAAACAAAAAAATGAGAATTTTGCCGCAAAAAATTTTTTTTTAGTCTATGAGTCGGTCTAAGACTTTGACATGATAGTGATATAAAGATTTTCGTGATAGCGACGAAATATAACTATTTTACGATTTTCTAAGATTCTACCATTCTTACGGCTGGCGCTCTATCAAAATATGGTGCCCGGGGTTTAACCCCTGGCCCCCTCCCCCTAAATGCGTCTCTGGTTGTCAGGAATTTTATGACAATACATTAGAAAATAATAAACTATTAAAAAAAAAAATATTTCAAAAAAATACGTATA